TGTGAAAAGTGCATTTTATTTTTTACCTCTAAATACCAAAAAGAGTCCATTTTAAATATATCAAGGGCCTTAGCAAATAAAAGTGGCCCAAACCTCTGTCAGCCTTTGAGAGGCCTTGGTGGTAGCCCTTATGGATATACTAGGAAAGAAGTGATTGAAATTCAATGACAGTTACAGCACAATAAGAAGAAAAAAATAAGGCCGGGTGCGATGGCTCACAACTGTAATCCCAGCACTTTGGGAGGCCAAGGCAGGTGGATCACTTGAGGCCAGGAGTTCAAGACCAGTCTGGCCAACATGACAAAAACCCCGTCTCTACTAAAAAATGCAAAAATTAGCCAGGCAAAAAATGCAAAAATACAGCCAGGTGGTGCATGCCTGTAATTCCAGCTATTTGGGAGGCTGAGGCATGAGAATCACTTGAACCTGGGAGGCAGAAGTTGCAGTGAGCCGAGATTGTGCCACTGCACTCCAGCCGGGGCTGCAGAGCGAGAAACTGTCTCAGAAGAAGAAGAAAATCACCCTAAGGGAGCTTAGCCAACTAACCAAGAGTCTATGTTGAAGAGTCCCACTGCCTTTGTTCAAATACTACTTGAGTAGCTATCTGATTTGGGGGAGATTACTTATCTTCTCTGTATCATGGTTTCTGCAGCCATAAAATGAGGATAATAATAAGAATGTACTTTATAGAGTTGCTGTGAAATACCTAGCTCATCGCAATTGCTCTGTTAATATAATTGTTGTCATCAACATCATCACCACCACTATCATCAAGAATGAAATGCCTTTTGGCCAGGCGCGGTGGCACCTATAATCCCAGCACTTTGGGAGGCCGAGTGGGGGCGGATTGCCTGGGCTCAAGAGTTCGAGACCAGCATGGGCAACATGGTGAAAGCCCTGTCTCTATTAAAAATACAAAAAAAAAAGTAGCCTGGCATGGTGGTGCGTGCCTGTAATCCCAGCTTCTCAGGAGGCTGAGGCACGAGAATCACTTGAACCTGGAAGGCAGAAGGTGCAGTGAGCTGAGATCACGCCACTGCACTCCAGCCTGGGTGACAGAGCAAGACTGTCTCAAAACAAAACAAAGCAAAACAAAAAAAAAAGACATGCTTTTTATTTTCTGTCTTGAGACAATGCCATCAGTTATCCAGCTGGCACAGTGAGGCCACCCCTCGGTTTATCCAGTGCTTCTGGGGCCTGTCTGTTGGAAGCTCAATGGAGAGGACGTAGTTGGTAGAGTGACCTGTGGTGGAGAGGGTTCCTCTGCGGGCACTTGTTTTGTAGACTGGACACACATACACGTCCTGATGCAGAAACATTGTACTCTCCCCAGGTTTCAGCCAAATGATGGGCAGTGGGTCATAGAGGATTTTGGGGAGAGATTCCCCAATCTGCATCGTTCTCCTGTCCCAACGGGCACCTTCTAAGAAGAGCCCTTTGATGTAGGCCCCATCTTCAGGGTTATCCTCCATCACTGTTTCTTGTGTGGTTACCTGGAAGAATAAAAAGCTATGAGTTCCATTGCCTGCCATTTTCCTACATGAGCAGCTTTAAGAGCCTGGAATTTTCTGATACTCAAAGTGCAACCTGGCTGCAATATCTACCTCTCCCAGGATCCAGGGACAATGGGACTTCTGTGATAATATTCCTGCCCACCATACATGGGCCAGGCCTGACTCCTAGTCAGTATGTTCCCTTCCCAATGGTGGGCTAGAGAATGCACTCAAGTAGGAGTCACATTACTCTAACACATTACCTCTAACTAGCTTAGTGACTTTGCATAATCCCTTCCCTTTCTGGATCTGGATTTATAAAGTGAGGGGTTGGGGTTAGATTCAGATTCAGAGACAGACTGGGTAAACAGTTCTGGAGATGAGTGTGGGGAGAATAAAGCCTTGATTTCTAGTTTCTGTGGTATAAAGACTTCCAGCATGGTCGATTTCAGTCTACCAACTATTTAACAAAATGCCTGAAAATGTAACTGATGGCCCTGGTGAGCTGATATGAATGAGCTCCAGCACACCACTGCTTAGATTCAGGGGTGGTAAACTCAAATTCCTTTAGGTAATTGCAGAAAATGGACAAAGTATAGGAGAATAGAGAGGGGTGGGGATTATGGTGAACTAGAGAGCACAAGCTCCACTTAAAATCATTCAAATTATACTTTTAAAAAATTGTATGGTGAATGGAATGTTTTTCCCATTTCTAATTCTAAGTATCTACTGGAAGAATAGGAAAAAGCTGTTGATTTTTACAAATTTAACCAATATCCAGTGACTTTGTGAATTCTTCTACAGATGCTCGTCAACTTACAATGGGGTTATGTCCTGATAAACCCAACATAAGTTGGACATATTGTAAGTCAAAACTGCATTTAATATACCTAATGTACAACAAATATCATAGCTTAGCCTAGCCTCCCCTAAATGTGCTTGGAACACTTACAATAGCCTGTAGCTGGGCAGAAATCATCTAACACAAAGTCTATTTTATAGTAAAGTGTTGAGTATCTTATGTAATTTATTGAATACTGTACTAAAAGTGAAAAATGGAATGGTTGTATGGGTACTCAAAGTGTGGTTTCTACTGAACGTGTATTTATTTCACACCATGAAATCAAAAAATTGTAAGTTGAACCATTGCAAGTAAAGTACTCTATGTTTTTAATCACTTTGGATTTCTAGGTATACAATCATTTCAACATCAAGGAAGATGGTTTTATCTTTTTTTCAATGTTTATCCTAGTCATTTTTCTTCTTGTTGTATTTATTTTGGATTAACATTGTCTTCAAAGACTAATCAAGTTAAGTTCATTCATAAACTGACTTAAGACAGGGCAACCAGTTTGTGACCTCTGAACTAGATGATTACAAAGGATCTTTTCACATAATTTAAAATTCTACAATGCTCTGTAACAGTCAATCTTAGCCATTCTACTCTCTATATATGACAGGGTGATGCCTGACTATCGGCCATTCTTTTAACTTTACTCCAAGCCAAAGACTACCCAAGGGCATTAACGTTCTTCCAAATGAAGAGTCCACCACATTGAACAAACAGAGTGGGAGAGTGCCTTCATTTTTCTTGGTATTCTGATGGAATCTGGAAAGATTCCCTTTTTGTACAGAGACAAAGCATTGGGAATCCTCTATTTTAGGAGTAGCTTTTAGAGCTGCTGTAAATTATGCTAAATACTTCATATGTACCACTTCAGAAGCATTTGGGTCTTAACACATCCACATTTTTTGACTCATAAGGAAATTGGCAACATTGCTTTCTCTGGTCAGCCCCTTGAGTGAGCCTAACCCAAAGCACCCCTACCTCAAACTCAAATCCAATGTGGTCAATGGGGATGGTATATTTCCGGGCATAATTCTGAGAGACGCCAGTCAAAAAAGACTGTGTGAAGTAGAATCCAGAGATCCAAAATACCACAGGGGGCCCCTTGTCAATCCATTCCTGGAGAGCCACAGAAATCAAGATTCGAAATCAACAACACATCAAAGACAGTTCAAACGCAAGTCATGTAAACAAGTCCCATATAAAACATGTTTTTTCTTATTTTTCTTGAAACAGTCAGCCCTCTTGGTTTAGCTTCTCTCTTCCCACTTTTGAAATAAGGGTACAAAAAATATATTTATACTTTAAGAAAAGTCCAGGTACTACAAAAATTAGCTGGGCGTGGTGATGGGCGCCTGTAGTCCCAGCCACTTGGGAGGCTGAGGCAGGAGAATCGCTTGAACCCAGGAGACAGAAGCTGCAGTGAGCCGAGATCATGCCATTGCACTCTAGCCTGAGCGACAAGAGTGAAACTTCATCTCAAAGAAAAGAAAAGAAAAGAAAAGCCCAGGTGCAAGCTGATACCAGGGATACAACAGAGAGCGGTGGGGACTGTAGCAGTGGAGAATATGTACCTTGCCTAAACTGAGCAGCTGCCACTCATCTCCAGCAATAGTTGCTATGCCATGCGAGAATGCAGGCCCGCTGTTTCAGGTCTTCTATTTTTTGCAGTACAAACATCTGGATTTTTATATGTAAAAATCCAATGTTTACATGCTGGCTCAAAAATGTTTAAATTACCAGGCAGCCAAACCAAACATAATTATTGTCCAAATCTATCCCATGAGCCACCAGTTTGTGATATTTATTCTAGTTCCTGTTCCTGGCTCCATAAT